TCAAACATATCTCATGCGAAGGGTTTCAGAACAAATTCCATCAGATGGTACTTATAGTCCATCACTCAAAAACTCAACGTATGCAACAACAAAAAGTCCACAATCTCTGCATGGTATATCATAAATTAGAAAATATAATAAATCTATTAACACCATATTTCAATAGTGGTAAGACAAAAAAATAATGTGATACCTACAGGCTATTGCTTGTTTGTTGGGCAATACCAATAACATGTATGACTTCTAATGGGTGAGATTTGTTCTTTACTTCTTTTGTAACACTAATATATAGTCCTACAACATGTCTAAGTACAAAATTATGGTCTAATACAACAACTTTCATCAATTCTATCAATTATTTTTACAAAGACTATCATACCACTAGTTCATCATACAATGACCAAGTAACTCCATATGATAGTTATATAACACCCTTGTAAATCGTTGTTCCAAGTGTTATAACATATTGGAAAAATTGCAACATACATATAATATGTGACAACATATGTATATCCTAAAATGTATTTTTGGGGTTAATTCAATTAAATTGTCACTTAATTCAACATGTAATACTAATATATGGTCCTACAACATGTCTAAGTACAAAATTATAGTCTAATACAGCAACCTTCATCAATTCTATCAATTATTTTTACAAAGACTATCATACCACTAGTTCATCATACAATGACCAAGTAACTCCCTATGATAGTTATATAACACCCTTGTAAATAGTTGTTCCAAGTGTTATAGCATATTTTTATTGCTTAATTATGGTCCAATGTACTAAAATTTGGTCCAATTTGACATTTTTTCATTCTTAAATCACTCAATTTATCGATTAACTCATCTTTGAAGTGACATATGTGGCAACATATGCACGTTCTGTTGGAAAAATTACATCAAACATGTCATATGTGGCAACATATGTATATTCTAAAATGTATTTTTTGGGATTAATTCAATTAAATTTGTCACCTAATTCAACATGTAACCCTAATATATAGTCCTACAACATGTTTAAGTACAAAATTATGGTCTAATACAACTACCTCTGTTAATTTTATCAATTATTTTTACAAAGACTATCATACCACGAGTTCATCATACAATGACCGAGTAACTCCATATGATAGTTATATAACACTCTTGTAAATCGTTGTTCCAAGTTTTATAGCATATTTTTATTGCTTAATTATGGTCTAATGTATTAAAATTTTGTCCAAATTTGACATTTTTTCATTCCTAAATTGCTCAATTTATCAATTAACCCATCTTTGAAGCGTCATTTGTGCCAACATATGCACGTTATGTTGGAAAAATTGCAATAGATATGTCATATGTGACAACATACGTATATCCTAAAATGTATTTTTTAGGGTTAAGCTTTTTGAAATCATATAATATTTCAAAAGGAATAACAACCCAACCATCGTACAAACAAATAAGTGATAAAACCACTAAAAACGTCCCGATTTAATATCAGTAAGTATTTCAAAACCCTAATTAAATTTTACCTGAGAAGATATCAACGATAAACTAGAAATGATGAGGGCAACGACGCCTTGTTGTACAAGAGGATCACAACAGATTACCACTGATGTTGTAGAAAATATCACAACAATTTGATTTGTGAAGGAATAATGGAACGAGAGAAAGGAAAGAAGAGAAAAGAAAACGAAAATTACTAAAAATAAATTAAATTTTGAATATGAAACGAAACGACCTTTTATAGATGAGATGAGAGAGATGAGAGAGGGAAAAATGAAGGGACGATTGTTTTAAACCTTTTTATTTTTATATTTTTTGAATTTGACAATTCAAAGTGTGACATATGTTGCAACATATATCCTTTATGTTGGGGAACATGCAGATAATTATGTGGTGTTTTTTACAACAGAGGTTATATATGTTGCACAGACACCACATTTTTTCCTTTCCATCATAATTGACTTTTATTCCAACAAAATAAAAATAATAATAATAATCATTAATATTAATATTATCAACAAAAATGAATAATTGGTGACAATATAATGTTGCCACATATCTCCTTTCTATAACATATGTTACCACATATCTTCTTTCTGTGACATATGTTGCCACATATATCCTTTCTGTTGGGGCACATACAGATAATTCTATAGTGTTTTTTACAACAGAGATTATATATGTTGCTACAGACACCACATTTCTTCCTTTTCATCATAATTGACATTTGTTCCAACAAAATAATAATAATAATAATAATAATAATCATTAATATTAATATTATTAGCAAAAATGAACATTTCACCAATTGTTTTATACAACAAATCAACGAAATGGTAATTCACAATGGTATACATAACCATCAATCTAATCAATGGTGGTAACCGCAACATTTTCATTGAACTTTGCCTTTTTAGGTCTAGGCCTCTGTGAGCCTTCATTGTTACTAACATAGCCACTCCGAGCCTTTATAATCCCATAATCCCATAATTCCATAGGAGTGAAACATATCTCATGCGAAGGGTTTCAGAACTAATTCCATCAAATGATACTTTTAGTCCATCACTCAAAAACTCAGTGTATGCAACAACAAAAAAATCCATAATCTCTGCATGGTATATCATCGATTAGAAAATATAATAAACCTATTAACACCACATTTCAATAGTGGTAAGACAAAAAAAATAATGTGATACTTTCAGACTATTGCTTGCTTGTTGGGTAATACTAGTAACATGTATGACTTCTAATGGGTGAGATTTGTCCTTTAATTGGTAAGTTTCAAGAACTGACCAGTTGGTTCAGTTTTTTTATCAAAAAATCCGTTGGATTCAAGGTACTTTGGCAACAATGTAGATAACTTTTGAATCTCGGAGCACAATTTTCTGTTAGTCCTAGATGAGGACATCGAATCATACACCTTTGTGCACCGTTCCTTCAATACAACGACTGCCAAGACCCAATGAAACTCCCTATTATAATTTACAGGGACATAAACCTCATCTGTGAGGTGTCAAGGCAGTCCACCAAGTATATCAAACCATTTGATAGTGACAAAGATTTTATTCTCATATTCAGGAACAACACTTGCATTGTTAATGGATGTTTTGAAAAAAACAATTATTAGTGGTATAGAATGACTCTGTTGCTTCGACTTCTTCGGCAAATAGTATAAAATGACATCCACATGCTGCACAAATGCATCAACAAGTGTATTTCTGTATCAATTTATTTGTCTGTATTCATGTCTTAATCAAAAGATAAAAGTGGGCATGGATTTACCTCATCAGTCCAGCACTTATTGGGTTGAGACATTATGTAGAACCAGTCCTTCTTCTTTGGAAATGCAACTACAAAATCAAGTTGTTTGAACTCAAGATTCGAGCAATTGGCTAAGTAGTGATCGTCCTTCTCTCTTCTGCAATTGTGTAATCATTATAAATAATTATTTAGTGGACAACAAGAAGAAATACTAATAATAGTTGAACGACTTTACTTTTTTGCATGATGCTTGTAAAGACCCTCGTATATCCATTACAAGAAAGATGACATTAGTTCAGTTGGACCCTCGCCGTCAATGTTAAAACCTTCAAATGGATATTGTTGCTTCACATCACAACTGACGACTTCGACTTTTTTTTTTCTCTTTCACTTTCTCCTTCTCCTTCGTCTTCTCTTGCTCCTTTTCCTTCTCCTCCTCCTTCTTCTCCTTCTCCTTGCCTTTTGGGTTTGAGTGTGATACTGGAGCAATAGTCATTGATTTTTTTTCTTTCATTAATTATAGATAGTGATTGGGAAATAGACTTTTTCAACCTCCTACACTTCAAAGGCTATGAAATCTTCTTGGATGTATGTACATCAATATTATAAGTCACTTCCTTAGAAATATCAATGAGTTCTCTAACACGACTAATAAAATAATCATGTTGTTGCTCACATTCTTCGCATAGACAAAAAGAGCATTTGATGTTAGAAGAGGAAGCAACACCAATAAAAGATTGAGATGTTGTCATGGATGAAGCTTTTTGTATCATTTCATCTACAAAGTAAATAAAAAAAGGTTGAAAGTTTACAATTGATTATAAAATAATAATGGGTAGCAATTTATACTTATGTTGACACACACATATATACATATATATATATATATATATATATATATTCTATTGCCACATATGTACCTTCTGTGGCCACAGATGAATCTTCATGTGCTACATATTAATCTTTTGTTACTACAAATGACCATTTTGTTGCCCTAACACATAGGTGATATGTTCCAACATATGACAACTCTGTTGGAATATATACCAACATATCACTAAAATGTAGCAATATACGACACATCTTTCAACAAATGAAATATATGTTGGACAACTGAACAAGACTATATTTCTAAAATCATATGAACAAAATGGTCACAAAAAGAACAACAAAAGCAACAAAAAATGAATTTTTACTGAATGTTAACAATACATATACATTTCCTCAAAATTAGGGCTTTTTTGGGTTTGTTGATTTTCTTTCAAAACTAATAAATAGCAGGTACCATTACACCCTTATTCAATTTTCACATCTATAGAATGATTTATTGTTCATTAATCCAAGAAAAAAACTTAGTATTGTTCAAAAATTGTAAAATCTTTCAAAAAATTGATTTATCCCTTTTAAGTCGAACACAATCTTCAGTTCAGAAAGAAAGGATGGGAGGAAGATAAGATAATGGGGAGAATATTTATTTTGATTGTCGGATTTTCGGATTTTCTAAGGAAGAAGAAGAGAAGAGAGAACGTTGGGAGAAGAAGAGAAAATTCTATTTTCTTTTACTTTTTTTTAAATAGTTTGGATAGAATTATTAAAGTTGAAAAATGAAGTATTTTTTTTGTATTTTATAAAAAATTAGAAAGTTTTAAAAATATTAATTTGATCTCAAATTTACTTAATTACATTAAGTGTCACCAAAAATCAAATTAATAGTTAATTAACCCCTTTCATTTAATTGTCTCAAGTTACTACTTGCAGAGATACTCAATTCAAGAATGGCTGAAGTTGAGAACCATTCATCTCCTCCTTCTGATCCGGCTCCATCAGATCCATCAACCCCACATCCTCAAACTGGGTTCAATCCTAGCAGAAGTAAGTGTAAGATTTGTAGATCTATTGTGGTGAATTGGGTCTGTGGGAATGGATTTTTAAGCGAACCCAACCCAGCCCAATTCGTTTTTGATATATATTTCTGGCCGTCATTCTATTTAGTATTTGAATGAATGGGTCGAATAAAGTGAATGATATAAAGGTTTCTTGATTTTGAACTATATAAATTCATGTTTGGGATTTCATATTTGTTAACACTAGGAGGGATGAAAGTTCTCAGATTTAGTTTGAAAACAATCTGATTTGATTTGTCTCTCTTTGTACTTTAGAGTCAATCTTTATTTGCACTTTGTTCAACTGTCTTAATGGATTTTCTTGAACCCTAAATGCCAAAGAATTTGGTAACTGAGTATTTCTTTATAACTTTATCAAATTGTTGTGTCCACAAAATTTTAGTTTGTGTTAGTTTTGGAATGAAGGAGAATTTGATTTGTTTAATCTAACATGTGTTGTTTCTTCTAGATTATTACAGTTGTTTGATCTAACATGTGTGGTTTCTTCTTGAGTATCACAGTGATTGGCATCATCAGAAGGAAGGCCATGATAAAAGACTTAGCGGCTATATACCATGCAGAGTGCCTTGCATATTGTCAAGAACTTTTGGAACTTCAAAAAAAAGCGGAAGAGGTTAGCAATATTGTCCTGCAACTTTTATGTTCATTTTACTTTGAAGAAGGCCCCTGCTTTCACTTGTCTTGTGAAATTCATGCTTCAAGGAATAATTGAAACCTATTATTTTGACAGAGTATTTACTTAATAAGATTAATATCTACCGTTAACCTAAGTTGCGTGGACTCTTCATTTTCGATGCCGCTCCCGGGTCAGATTCTCAAAAAATGCACTTCTTTTAAAGAATCCAACACACACCTATTGACATTTTTGAAGAATCCAAGTTACATAGCCGTCAACATATATGGTCATAACAACAAGCTTATGCTTGAAAATTTTCTGTCTTTCTCCCACTAGAGGCTCTTTGCAGTTTTACTATTTTTAGGGAAGATAGGTAAGTGAGTTGTTTGCATTTGCAGACTCGTTTATATCGTTGTCCTTGTCCTTAATGCTCTGTTTTGATTATTGAAAAGAAATGGAACCTGGGCCTAACTTAGCCCCAAAAGCTTGCACTCTTCGTTTTTCGCTAGACGGTTTCATTTGCTAGCTGTAGACATACAATGGTGATCCTCGCTTCGCTTCGCTTCTTTCCCTGTGGTCTTTATTGAATGATTGTCTAGCTCTTGCTTATAAAGACATTGTCGAAAACATAAAAACGATATACATACATTTCTGAGAAGTATATATCATCATTGGAGGAAAGAGAGGAGTCATGGGATTGTGGTTGGAAATTTTAAGAGAAGGATATGAAACTTGTATATGTGTTGATAAGAATATGATGTTTGTAACCATCTGATACCACATGAGCTACAAGTGGTACAACTGGGGGGCTAGATAGGAAGCTCATCAGAAGATGCAAGCATTTTATTCTGTCTGAGAAAAGGAGTGCTTTCCCATCCAAAAGAACATGCTGGTCATCCCAGGTTATAGATTCTTTTTCTCGTAGAAGAAACTAGCTCTAACAGTTACTTAATAGCTCTAACAGTTCCTTGATAATTACTAAGTGACAAAGAACCAGTGATGAATGAAGTGTTTCTATCAATGTTAGGAGGAGGTTCAGCTGTTGTAACAGCATCTGTACTGGAGGTTCAGCTATTGTAGCTGCATGTTTACTGGATGTTCAGTTATAATGGTTCAAAACTTTGAGAGTTGCTTGGAAATGATGAATGTCAGTTGAGTGAATTACAAAAAAAAATTAACTTAGCAATTGATATTTGTCGTGTGTGCTCTGGTCTCTTTAATCACTCAGCTTCCAAGTATTTGTGTGATTATTACAACAGGTGCTCGTGTCTAAAATGATATGATAAAAAGAAACTGCTTAACTCCTAAATAAAAAGACTTTTGAATTCTGCTTATGCCTTAGTTTTTCTTTCTTTGATAGCTACTCATTTATCCCAATTATTCTCTGGACTCGTTGGTCCTAGGACCTACCCAATGCCTTATTTTCCTGTTAAAATTGGAGAAGAAACCCTGCTTTGCAATGCTTTCCTAACACCTTACTTCAAGTTTCTAGTACAATGCTTGCCTTGATGAACATAATTTGCCGAAGTTTTGGAGTTCTCATCAGAATCTAGAAGTAAAAAGATGAATATGCATTTAGTATGATGCCCACCTGCTCTTATTTCCCCTTTTTCAGAAAGATATGTTAATTGCTGTGTGTTTATTTTTCCTGTGTTGTTATATCCATTATCATAGTAACCTTTTTTTCCCTTTCAAATGCTCCAGTCATTAATTGAAATGAAAGCTGCAGAAGATTCAAGGAGAGAAACAATGAGGCCCCCAAAACGTATGAAGAAAGCCCGTTAGCACCTAATGTAAGATATGTTTGCGATCTATTATATGCTTTCTTGAAAGATTCTCTTGGCCTTTTAACATTGGCAACCTGGAAATTGTCTTTTACTGATTACAGAAAGCTACAAGTTTGTTAAATCTAATAGATACAGCTCATTACAGAAGATTAAGATGAATTGTATTTTGTTATTTCACTTTAGAGATAAAGGAAAGTATGTTGATGAAGCTGGATCAATCATAGAAGTCATAGTATCGCCGAGCACATATGCTAGTTTCATGAGGACCATGCTATAAGCCCAGGTCCAAATTCATGATGTAAAAATAATATGAGTTATATTTAATTTAAGGGAAAATGCATAAGTACCCTCTAGCCTATACCCAAAATCCCTGAGACACACCTAACTTTACTAAGGTCCTATTATCCCCCCCCCCCCCCCCCGAACTTATTTTTTAGTTAATTGTTTACCACTTTTCGGCCTACGTGGCTGAGTTCGTGATTTCACCTATGTTAGGCACGTGGGTGCAGCTTTTAGACAACACTGGCCAATAAAAATTGGTCATGTGTTAAAATAAACTTGGAAAAAATAAATATTAACTCAATTGTCTTCTTCTTTATTATTGTTCTTCATGTTTGAAAAAAAAACCTCCATTATCATAACTTAAATTGCTCCTTTCTTCGAAAAGCTAACAAAATAAAATGAAGAAAAAACTAACCTTTGAACTCAATCACAATTCTTGATGACTTATAGAAGTAGGGGTGTACATAGGTCGGTTTGGTTTGGTTTTTCATTAAAAAAAACCTAAACCAATTATGTCGGTTTATTAAATCTAAATATCAAATCAAACCACGCAAAGTCAGTTTTTTCAGTTTCGGTTTTAGTTGGTTCTTTCGGTTTTTTACAACTTAACGGTGTTTGAAAAAGAGATCAAATATATTTTCACCTACCTGTGTGATAAGCTAAACTTAAGAAACGTTAAATGAATAGAAATTTTCGTAAAGACGGTAAATTCACATGAGTACAAAATATATTTTTTTGAAATAAAATATATAAACATTGAAAACTATAAACTAACTAAAAATATATTAACAAAGTTATAATATCTTTTAATCTATAAATAAAATAAAATTATATTGAATGAATGGGAAAGACGTGGGTCTAGCCAGACCCCTGACATCGGGTGACAAACCTTGATGATGGCAATTTCAAAATAAAATAATATATATATATATATATATATATATATATATAATATTTACAAAATTTTACAAACCCAAGTTTGAAATAAAATATATAAACTAACTAAAAATATATTAACAAAGTTATAATATTTTTTATCTATAAATAAAATAAAATTATATATATAATATTTACAAAATTTTACAAGCCCAAATTTGAAATAAAATATATAAACTTTGAAAGCTATAAACTAACTAAAAATATATTCACAAAGTAGATTATAAATAATATTTTTTTATCTATAAATAAAATAAAATTATATATATAATATTTACAAAATTTTACAAGCCCAAATTTAAAATAAAATATATAAACATTGAAAACTATAAACTAACTAAAAATATATTAACAAAGTAGATTATAAATAATTTTTTTATCTATAAATAAAATAATATTATACATATAATATTTACAAAATTTTACATGCTCAAATTTGAAATAAAATATATAAACATTGAAATCTATAAACTAACTAAAAATATATTAACAAAGTAGATTATAAATAATAGGATAACTTTTTGAAATTTTGGGAAGTGTAAAAGCTACTTTGTAGAAAGTTGAAAAAGTGGGGCCCGGTGCGTGTTGAACAAAGCTTTCAACCTATTTGGTTTATATTGCCACGTAGGCCGAAAAGTGGTAAACAATTAACTAAAAAATAAGTTCGGGGGGGGGGGTAATAAGACCTTAGTAAATGTTAGGTGTGTCTCAGGGATTTTGGGCATAAGCTGGGGGGTACTTATTCATTTTCCCTTAATTTAAAAAGTATAATCTATATTATACTTTTCCACGTTGTCAAAGGCGTGCTAAAAGCGCGCTCAAGCCCTGAAGCGAGGCTCAAAACTTCTATGAGTGTTGCTTAATGTGCGCTTCAGTGTTGTCATCAAGGTTTTAAGACATCCTTTCCCTTGCCAATGAAGCCTTTTTTGAAGAGGCAACACTAAGCAATTGATTTTTCACTTTATCGTAAAAAAATCAATTTCTTTGTTCATATATTTGTCATTTAGGCTTATATAGAAGCTAATGCTTTGTTTGCACTTTGTGCTTAAAGCCCCAACAGACCTGAAAGTTTTTTTGCATTTTTTGCTTTTGATAACAATGATATTTTCTTATCGCATAATTAATGTAATTTAGTGGCACATTTAATGAGTATTGTTGACAAGTCTTCATAATTATCAAAGTTTCTTAATCACCTAATTAGATAATTTATAAGTGAAATTATTTATGAAGAAGGAAGCTTTGAGAAGAATTATAAATATCAATGGGGACACAAACAATTTGACGCTCTATAAAGTAACATGATTTAAATTATGTAAAATAATTACAACTCGGGGAAAATTATAAAAATATCATTAACTAATAAAAGTGTGCACTCTTAACAACTTAAACTTTTAGATGAGTTGGTCACACACTTCAACCTAGTATCAGACCAGGTAGAGGTCCTGGGATCGAATGTCACCGCCACCCATATCAAAAAGAATTTCCACGTGCTTGGTCCATGAAAAAGAATCAGGCCAGCCCATGAGGGGGTGTGTTGAGAATATAATCAACTAATAAAAGTGTGTTCTCTTAATAGCTTAAACTTTTAGATGTTTGGGCCTGATCTTTTTCATGTGCCAAGCACGTAGAATTTTTATTTTTTTTAATTTGGGTGGCAGTGAGATTCAATTGGAACTTTGCCTGCTCTGATATCAAGTTTAAGTGTGTGACCATCTCATCTAAAAGCTTAAGCTATTAGAGAGAACACATTTTTATTAGTTAATTATATTTTCAACAGAAAATATTGACTTTTTTATTAATTTGTGAGTATATAATCTTTATTTATAGATAGAAATAGATATTTTTGGTACTCCCTCTGTTCACTTTTACTTGTCCACAATTTCAAAAATAGATTTGTACTTTTACTTGTCTTTTTTAACATATCAAGAAAAGACAAAAAAATCATGTTAAGAGCTAATTACATTTTATCCCTATTCGTTTCCAAATTACAAAATCTCTTAAATTTGGTGGAATGCGGATACATCCCAAAACATCTCGATACATCGCGTCCCGGTTTCAAATACATCCATCAACGTCCTGACACATCACGTTTCGATGTCGGATACACGCATAAAGTGATGTATTCGAGAATAGGAGAGTAGGGATTTTTGTAATTTTTTCAAATGGTAGGGAATTTTTTTTTTGAAACTGGTAACATTTGTATTTCATTTAGTACTTAGGTAGTACTGAGTTGTGTATTTAGGTAATTTTTTCTTTTCAAAACCTAATACTAAACATCAATTGATAGGGATAGTGAGATGAAATAGCCATGTCAATCATTGTTTTCTTAATGGGCGTGTTAAGTCCAAGTATGACAAGTAAAAATGAACGGATGGAGTACTGATTAAGTTTTTGTTTCACTCACGATATTTGTTGCGGCAAGAGTTTATGCTAGTTAAATGTGATGATTTAAGGAATAAACTAAGTTAATTAAATGCCAACCACTGGATGCTCGCCAGATGAAGTAAAAAGAGATTGGGTCTGGATAAGAGTCATGGGATTACCTTTGAGCTTATGGTCATCGAGTATCTTCAAACAAATCGGCAACCAATGCGGCGGATTTATTGAAACAGAGGAAGAAACAAAGCTCAAAAATCACCTTAACTGGGCTCGTATAAAAGTGAAGGGTGACGGGGAAAAGGTTCCGAGGGAGGTGAAGATTTCCAACGACGGCTACACCTACAAAGTTCCAATCTGGTGCGAGGTACCGGTGACGGTCAGAAAAGTGGAGACGAGGAGAGAGAATGAAGATAGAGAACCGCTGGGTAAAGAAGATTCAAGACCTAGTACGATGGAGAAACCAACAGTTTATACACCACAGCACGTGGGCACATCGACAGCTGGAGAACTTTTGAATTGGGAGTCACGTGACCAGGCACGTGACCGCAGCTGGAAAGGGAAAGGGCAACTTCATGCAGTAGCAGGCCAAATAAGCGAGAGAAAAAATCAGGGCCCAAAAAAAGCTTTAGGCCCAACAAGGTTTAAACAAAAAGAAAGCAGTCAAGAAGCCCAAAGACTAGACTTAGTAAGTGTTGAAATAATGGCAAATCTTTCTCAAACAAAGACGCAGAATAGATTCAAAAATCTGGACAACCTGGAGGTGGAGGAGAGAAATTTCATGCCTCTCGAACAAGAGGAGACAATACAGGAGGAGGGGGAGAACACAGTCACCGTGGCGAAAGCTACAAACATGGAAAAACAAATAATGGCTATATCACAACTGAATGGGCAGAATGATAGTAATACGGAGATCACAGAGGATGCTGTACCGCTGATGATTCAGCTGCCATTAGAAGACAATTTTAATTCAAAAAGTTCTCCACTTTGGATTAAGCAACACATACTCAAATTGAGCACTGAATTTGGGGTAGATTTTAGAGGATGTGAGGAGAAAGCAGAGGAGCTCTTTATGAAAATTGATAATAACAAGCAAGGGAACAAGGGGGGCAAGGGAGAAGTCACAACAAACAAAAAGAAAGGAGCAAACGAATTGAAAAGCCTGGAACTGGATACAAAGTTCATGAGCTTTGGCACTAGAAGTAGAGGGGGATACCTGGCAATAGAAAAATAATGAAGCTAAACATAGTGTCATGGAATATAAGGGGGATGAACTGTGCTAGAAAGAGGGAAGTGATCAATAATATTATGAAGAACTGGAAGGCAGATGTAGTCTGTTTCCAAGAAACAAAGGTGGGAGGGGAGATTGAAAATATTGTGAAGGAAGTATGGGGGAATAAATGGGTGAATTATGCACAGTTAGGAGCCAGTGGAACCAGGGGAGGCATCGTTATTATGTGGGACAAAAGGGAGTGGGAAGGAGAAATTAGCAGTGTAGGGATGTACTCTGTCACCTGGAGCGTCACAGGGATATGTCAAGATTTCAGCTGGCACCTCACAGGTGTCTATGCTCCAAATGATAGAGTAGAAAGGGAAGAGACTTGGGGGGAAATTGG